TTAGGTATCACAATGTATCTTTTGTTTAACAGAGTCAATATTTTTAGGTATCACAGTACTGGTATCATAGTGGTATCACCGGAGGACGGTGGCCGGAGGTCGAAGAACGGTGGCCGGAGAGAGAAGAGAGGAGAGAGGAGAGTTTTAAAATACCAAAAATATCCTTGCATTGAGATTTTAATTTAAAATTACCAAATTTATAAATTTCCTGATTTATCTATTGATTTGTGGTTAATATTGGTTCTCACAGTTACTACAAACAACTGAGTTCTCCCTTGAATAGGCCTATATATATATATATATATATATATATATATGGTTGGTTTCACGTGAGACCAAAGGTTTTTCGTGAGACCCGTAAAACCAATTCTCAACCCTTGGATTAGATCTACAATCTGAACATTCATAATTGCAAAATTGCCACGAGACTTCTCAATAATCACAAAATTGTCACCGTGTAACTTTAGACCATTAGATCATTAACTTATAAAGTTGATCAATGAACATATTTGGACCATAATCCATAAGTTAAAAAAGTTGGGCTTGCTAATACTAAAAAATATGTGTGTGTGTGTGTGTGTGTGTATATATATATATATAGGGTTGGATTCACGTGAGATCAAGAGTTTTTCGTGAGACCCGTAAGACCAATTTATGTTCATCGATCAACTTTATAAGATAATTATCTAATGATACGGTGGCAATTTTGTGATTATTGAAAAGTCTCGTGGCAATTTTGTAATTATGAATGTTCAGATTGTAGATCTAATCCAAGGGTTGAGAATTGGTCTTACGGGTCTCACGAAAAACTCTTGGTCTCATATGATCCCAAGTGTGTGTGTGTGTGTGTGTATATATATATATATATATATATATATATGTGACCCTTTTTTTAGAATCCATGAAATTATGATAATCTTGAAAACTTATGCATCATGTGTTATTTCATATGATTTGTTTCCATCTAATACTAGGATTTAAAATATTAATTAACATATATTTGTTTCACATGTATTCGGTTCACAATGTGAACATTTTTTACGTGTTTGTAAAACAAAAAATACACGTAAAAGAGTTTCACTTTGTGAACCTGAATATATATAAACAAATACATTATAAAACAAAATATATTAACCAATATATTAAATTTTATATCTGAACGGAAAAAAAAATTATGTGAAACAAACCTTAAGGTAGAAGTTCTCAAAAATCTTGTAAATTTTGGAGTTCTCAAATGATTAAACTCTTACATATAGATATCCCAAGTTTAAATAAAAACCACAGGGTTTTTGAGACTTACAGCCAACTATTTATCAATGAATGTATAATGAGACATATTCATTGGTGAATACATATTATACAATAGAGGAGATGATCATGCAATAAGCAAACTAATTTGTTAGAAGGCGAGAAAAATATGAGTCACATACCTTATTTGATAAAATAATAAAATAAAATATTATTAAATTAGATTTAAAAAAATAGCATTATCCATACCAGTAATGATAATTCTTAACAAATCGGGATTCAGTGTGCCAGCGAGGAAGCTGGCCAATTGGGCTAGGGGGTGGATTGTGAGGGAATAAAAGTTGGGAAGGAGAACAAATGTTGCTTTATAAGGGACTTGATATTTCCTTTATCAGACGCGTTCTAGAACTGTGAGTCCAAATGTGTGGACAAAGCGATAATATCTGATACAGTTAGCCTGAGATGTTACAATATGTTAAACTTATCTAATTACATGTGATTCAAAAGGTGGATCCAAAAGTTAAAATAGAAAAAAAAATGGTGAAAAAGATAATGAATTGATTTTCGACATCAGATTATGAATTTTTTTTAATCAAAAGTGAATCTAAAAAAATAATTATATGAAACTTGACAAAAAAAAATTATGAATTAACTAAAATTAAAAAAAATAAGTAAATCAAGAAGATATAATGAGATTTTTAAGGATTTATCCAATTTAAAATGGTAGTTATTCTAATTTTAAGATTATTTTTTGTTTATGGGTTTTTCAATTAATGGTTTATGTTGTTTATATTGTTTCTTGGCTTCTTGTAAATCAGGGGCGGACCCATAAATTTTTTCAAACGATGATACCATTTGACTATAAAAAACAAATATACAAATTTTTTTTCTTCAAATTGTGGCACCATTTGACTAAAAAAATAACATTAACAGGATTCGAATTTAGATATGAGATGGAAATAAAAGTTTTGCAAACCAACTCTATCAAATAAAACGTGTTCTCATTGTAGTTTCAAACTACATACGATGACACACAACAATTAATATTATTGCACCTTTCACGAACCTAATTTTTTTACCTTTTGACGGAGGAATAATACAGTGACACTTGCCATCATATGCACCACTATAGGTCCGGCCATGTCGTAAATTGACGGCCTCTCTCGCTTGAACCTGCCTTATATATCTATCAACAAATACAAACTATAAATTCAGTTGTATAATTCTCAAATTATTTAGGTTCTCTCCCATATATATATATATATAGGCTCATTCAAAGAAAAACTGACTAGTTTGTGGTAACCGTAAGATTCAATCTCAACCACAAATCAATAGATACATTAAGAAATTTATAATTTTGGTAATTTTGAATTAAAATTTTAATGCAAGAACATTTTAGGTATTTTCTCTCCTCTCTCCTCTCTCTGTCCTCCAGCCTTCGGCCACCATCCTCCGTCATCTGGCCACCGCTCTCCAGTGATACCACTGTGATACATAAAAATATTGACTCTGTTAAACAAAAGATACAATATGATACCCAAACATATATAAGATGCATTGTGATACCACTGTATTACATCTTCGATCGACCACACAAATGACCTCAGTGTGATACCCAAACACATATATGATGCATTGTGATACCATTGTGGTATCACCCGAGGACGGTGGCCGGAGGATGGGGAGAGAAGAGAGGAGAGAAGAGAGTTTTAAAATACCTAAAAATGTCTTTGCATTAAAATTTTAATTCAAAATTACCAAAATTATAAATTTCATAATTTATCTATTGATTTATGGTTGAGAATGAATCCCAAGGTTATCACAAACTAATTAGTTCTTATTTGATTAGGAATCATATGAGATAGACCATGAGTCATTTGGTGTTTTTTTAATCAAATCATGCTTCACAGCAAAAAAAACAGTGAACCTTTATAGCAAAACTCCGAATCTTCAAAGGATCAAACATTCACATAAAAAAAACCGAACCTTGACATAAGAAATACTACGAATGTTCACACGAAAAACATACAACCTTCACGCGAAGCACACTTCAAACCTTCACGTCATGTATCCGAACCTTACGGTCTCTGCCACATAAAAGTGTCTAGTCTATACATACGCACAAAATCCCGCATTTCTTTTCCTAAAACATGGTCTAATCCACGTTTCAAACCATAGAAAGAGAGATAGAGTTTTGTGTTGTACGCATGATTGTGATTGTACTTCTTGCTCTACGTAACCCAAAAGAAAACACCCATCCATCGATCCTTCTCTCTCTTCGAATCACAACCCCATTTCAATTAAAATAATCCTTTAGTTCGCCATCTTCTATATCACACCTTTAATTTCCAAGCTCCTTAATCTCTCTCTCTCTCTCTACAAATAGCAAATAACATGGCTGAAGAGAGTGGCCAAGAAGGGTTCTTTTGGGATACTTATCCGTGGGTTATGGCTGACAAATCTGGTGGTGTTTCAGGTGATGATGACAAATCTGCAGGTGATGATAAGAAGCCCATAATCAATTCAACTGTAACCCATGATCATAGTAAGATGAAGCAGTCGGAGATGGAAGCTCTCGGGGGTTTGAATGGTGGTCATGACCAAGAACCAGTAACAACAACAGTCGGTGGTGATGGTGGCCAGCTGAGAAATGAGATGAAAAATGACGACAACAAGAAGGTGAGTCTCGATAGTGACAAGGGAAAAGGAGATCCTGAGTCAAACGATCATGATTTTCATATATGGACTGAGAGAGAAAGGAGAAAGAAGATGAGGAACATGTTCCATCAACTTCATGCCTTACTACCTCAACTCCCCCCCAAGGTATCAAAACCAATCTTGATTCAGTCTCCATTTCTTCAATTACTATTCATTTTTAATGATCACAGTGAACCCAGATGGGGATTTTCAAGATTTTCTTTAATCTTTGGGTTCAATGTGTATATATATATATATGTATGTATGTATATATCATGTTTTAACCATATGTAGAAAAGAAACAATGAAACATTATAGGATTACAGCTGAATCTATACCATGTATAGATCTGTCTGTATACTTTCAAATCTACTGTCAATTCCAAATTTGATGTTCATATTTTTGGTAATATCGCTGGACCGATAAGATTTGGTTGTTATGAAAAAGGAGAAAGAAAAAGCAGCTTCGAATTTCGATCCACATTTCATATGAAATTGAGGGTGAAAAATTGTATTCATCACTTTCATCTGCTAACGAGATCTTGCTTCTGATCTAATCAGACTTTTTCTATTCAGACCCCTTTTGATTAAGGTGGTTCAATCTTTATAGAAATTTGCATTTAAAGATCCAAACTCTAATCTTGTTTGTCCCTCTAATTATTCATCATTTTGTAATTGAATATCAATCTGTGCTTTCTTCTGAAATGACACAAAATCTATGAGTTTGGTTCTTCAGTTGATTAAAAGTAGTAATAAGCTTTCTAATCTTGTTATTAAGCCATAGCTGAATTAATTAAGTACATATTTATATATTACAGGCAGACAAGTCTACAATAGTTGATGAGGCAGTAAGCCACATCAAAACCTTGCAAGAAACCCTCCAAAAGCTTCATACACAGAAGCTAGAGAGGCTCCATGGTCTATCATCCAACACCACTATTTCACCCTTAATTCAACCACAAACACTGGCTCTAAACACCAGGGAATCCTTTTTAGCCGACCACGGATCCACAACCGGCCCCTTTGGCATCGTTCCATCTTCTAGCTCGACCTCATTCCCGTTCCCAATATTTTCACCAACCGCTTTCCAAACATGGACTTCTTCTAATGTCACTTTAAACGTGTGCGGCCTGGATGCACATATTAGCATTTGCTCTCCCCGGAAGCCTGGCCTACTTACTGCGATCTGTTTCGTGATGGAGAAGCACAAATTGGAGATCGTTTCTGCTCAGATTTCTTCGGATCAAACTACAAGCTTGTTCATGATTCATGCCCGTGTAAGTAATGTTTCGTTTATCTTTGCTTAATGGTGCATTTTTTGCTTAATTAATAAGGTTGTCGAGTTCATAACCATCAAGTGAGCTATTGTTTATGTGTTGACGCCTTGTTAGGCTTGCCATGAAATTAGGGTTTTGAGTTGGCTCATATTTGTACAATGGCACATTTGAAACAAGACCGTACAAAAAGTACCACCTAATAATGTTTATTTGCTATCATGTGGCAAAACCTTGACATCCAGACTTGGGATTTTGTGGTAGTTTTGGAAAATGCCTTGGTTGCTATTTAAGGTATGCATATAAACAACTTCAAGGGAGTTCTTGTCGGAGAAAATTCGTACGGATATAGATTCACACACACGAGCACTATGACGTCAATGGGAATTTAGAACGACACAAAGATTTTACACGGTTCGGGTTAGGGATTATCTAGTCCACGGCCACACTAGTGACTCAATTACAACAATAATGTATTTAAAGGGGAAGACTAGGATGTTTACTTACAAGTTAATGAACTTAATGGTGTGAACAACTTAATTCATACGGCTTAATCGTTAAGTCGTTAAGCCGTTAAGCCAAAAAGGCTATATATGGAAGCCAGTATCTCTCACTTGTCCCCATTATGCCACCTTAGTCAAATTAATACCATAAATCCCCTAAAAATAATCTAACCCTCTCTTTTTTCCTCCCTCTGTCTCATGTCCCTCGGAAATACAGATTTATCTGGATAGATAACTTAATGAAAATGAAGCAGACAACCCCTAAGCTATCCAACATTTGCAACATCAGACTTCATACACTACAACAAAATTGGGTTTATAGGACACCCCCAATCTCTGAGCATCCCAATACACGCTTTATAGGACTTAATTTATGTGACCAAAATATAAAACGTCCTATCTAAAGGTATTGTAATAAGTTTATATGACGCTTTTAAACGTTTTAACAAGTTTTTAGGACATTTTTAATACAAAATGTCGCATTAACAACTTTATATGACACTTTTGAGTCCTATAAACTCAATTTTTTATAAGACATTTGTTTTTATATGACAGTTTTTCGAATAATGTCTTATAAAATTGTTAATAGGAGGATGCTTTATATTAAAAGTGTCATAAAAAACGTCATATAAACTTATTACAACGCCTTTAGATAGAATACTTTATTTTTTTGGTCCTATAAACTAAGTCCTATAAATTAAATGCCGTTTAGAATTTGGGAGTGTTCTATAAACCTGATTTTGTTGTAGTGATAACCATTCTAAATTGTGACACAAAATTATCCCATCAAACAAAATGAACCAAATTGATAACTTAAACCCTTATGAACCATAGAACTCCCATGGTTCTTCCTTGATTAAAATACATGAAACTTTTAGGGTTACATCCAGGATTCGGTAAAGAGTATCCCCTGTTGCTATAAACGTTAGTTTGAATTAACGTTTGATATGTACATATTATATATATATATATATATATTAAATATCTGTATGGGTTAAGTTGATCTATCTTCCTGCTATATTTGATTATCAGGCAAGTAGTCGTGATCAGTTTCTAGAGACGTTTCCTTATGAGGAGGTGTTCAAGCAGGCTGCAACAGAGATAATGCTTTGGGTTAACTCTAAATAATCATAATTTTCTCAAGGATCATTGGGTCTTATTTTCCTATTAAGTTGCTGTGATTGTTCTCGTAAAATGAAGGTGTTTTTGTTTGAACCTTTATATATATATATATATATACATATAGAGAGAGAGAGTATGGTTTGTGTAAGCTTTGAACCTTCTTGTTATCTTAATTCCTATAATTTTAAGTCTATGTTATTTGCCAAGACATTTCAATGTTTCTCTTTGGTTATCACAAAATACTTTCATATGTTACTGGTCCAAATTCATGATCAATATTTAATTTTCTTTGTGTTTTTTATTTTTAAATGAAACTCTACAAATCTCATACTTGTATTTTGAAACATGCTTTGTTTTAATTTGATTTTTATTTTTGAAACATACTTAATTTCCATACTAAGGGGTCGTTTACTAAACGCTTACCCGATAGGCGTTTACTGGACAATTTTCCACATCAGATGAGCATGACAAGGCCCAAAAATCTTACTCGGTAAGAGCGATGATAAGGATAGAGAGTCTTACATGGTAAGTGAAGGTGACGACTCTTACCCGAGTAAGCACTTACAAGGTAAATTGTTGCATACGATATCATTTTGATCGATGTACTACAATCATACTCAGAAAATAAAATTATACTATTGACTCCTAACGATAATATATTGGTTGTGTGCTTTTGCAATGCAACATATTTTAAAATTTTAATTGTAGATAAAGAATGTAAAATTAATGCAATTTCTCATTTAATCTACTTTATTACTCTAATATAGAGGTGTTAAAAAAGTTGGTCAGTTCAAACCGGTCAAAGCAAATCAAATTGGATCATGTTTGGCGATTTAAGCGACCTGATTCTGGTCCATTCTGAAAAAGAGCCACATCCCTCGATCCTGTCTGGTCTATGGTTTGAATTTTTATAGCGATTTGGTCCAAACCGACTGTCAAAATACAAATGTATTAACTATATTTGGTTTTCATGTTATTGAGTCAACTTTTATGGCCCGATTATAAAAAGTCCGTCCAAGGCAATAAGTTTTTAGTTTTTACTTCCCCACTGTCTGCATTCTCTAAATCGGCAAAATTCGGAGATCCATCGGAAATCAAAATCCAAAATTCTAAATCGTCATTCGACTTGCTCAAAATTTTGTATTCAAAAATTTCAGTCTTGTCGGTGGACTTGTTTATCTTCTTTTTTTCAATTCGCTCAAATGATTTTTCTTTTGGTGATAGATGTTTATTTTATAATTCGATATACAATCTTTTAATAATGTTATATTGGTATAATTTTCATTTTATAGATATATGTTATGTTTTTTAAGTTTAAAGCCCATAATAGGCTTAAACTATCTAAACGCATCAAACAAAACCGTCTTTTTATGGTCCGGTTTAACCCCGTGCCGTCGAACCGCTCAGTTTGAGAATCGTCGGTTTGGTTCGGTTTGACCACTTGCTGCCATTGTGGATTGATTTGTGGTTTTGGAGGTTAAATCCTTCAAATCGGGCTATGAACACGTACTCTACCAGATTTTCTAAAACAATTTCAAAATAGAAAAAGCAGGAAAAATAAATTTAAAAATCTTCAAATTGAAATAATTCTCCAAAAATGATTACCATTTTTAATTACATCTGTGTTAATTGTATTATAATTATATATAGTAATATTTATGTAAAATTTATCAATATAAATATTTTAATAATATAATTAATATTTTAATTTTTAAAATAATAGAATATGATAGTCTTTACAAAATTTACTCTACATTTTATAGAAATTTAAAACATGTGTCATATCATAAAACATTTTTGAAGATTTTTTTTTAAGGGGTCGCTTACCTAGATGTTAACTCGATAAGTGCTTATCATTACGAGTCAACATTGTAATTTATTTTACCTGATAAGATTGTAGTACATTAAAATGGTATTGTATTCAACAATATAATTTACCCAGTAAGCGCTTACTCGAGTAAGAGTCATCATCCTCACTTATCGAGTAAGACTCTTCATCTTTATCATTGCTCTTACCGAGTTACCGGCCGATAAGATTTTTAACCCTTACCATGTTCATCCGGTAAGAAAAATTACTCGATAAACACTTACCGAATAAACGTTTATTAAATGGCCCTAAATTATTGGTTGGAATTCAAAATCATTCCTTACAATTAATTAATTAATATATATATATATATATATATATATATATAGGCCTAATCAAATGAGAACTAATTAGTTTGTGGTAACTGTGAGAACCAATATTAACCACAAATCAATAGATAAATTAGGAAATTTATAATTTTGGCAATTTTGAATTAAAACATTAATGCAAGGATATTTTTGGTATTTTAAACTTTCCTTCCTCCTCTCTTCTCTCTCCGGCCACCGTCCGCCGGCCACCGTCGTCCGGTGATACTACAATGGTATCACAATGCATTATATATGTGTTTGGGTATCACATTGATGTCGTTTGTGTGGTCGACCGGAGGACGGTGGCCAGAGGCCGGAGAACGGTGGCCGGAGAGAGAAGAGAGGAGAGAAGAGATTTTTAAAATACCAAAAATATCCTTGCATTAAGATTTTAATTTAAAATTACCAAATTTATAAATTTCATAATTTATCTATTGATTTGTGGTTAATATTGGTTCTCACAATTACTACAAACAACTCAGTTCTCCTTTAAATAGGCCTCTCTCTCTCTTTATATATATATATATATATATATCAGTTCTCCTTTAAATAGGCCTCTCTCTCTCTCTCTCTCTCTATATATATATATATATATATATATATATATATATAAACTGATTCGAATATTCTAGTTAAAAATACATATATAACACGTCATATCTTTTATGTGATCGAATAAAAAGTAAAGCCTTGTTATTGAAAGTTGAGAGTTAAAGTGTTTTGGGTTTCGATTAGTAATCATTACATTTTATTTTCTACTTTTTCTTTTTTACTTTCCATAACTTTTATTCATTCAAACGTCATCTAATGATAATTTATACTATTTTATAAAGCAAATTTAACAATAGTCTTAAAATTTTAAAATATTAAATAATCAAGATACTTTTTATAATACTTTTTTATCCCCTCCTCTCCTCACATACACTCACCCTCTCCAAACGATTTTTTTAAAATTATAATTTTAAATTTACACTTTATACCCTATAATTAGTTAATTAATTTATTTTACGTTCTTTACTTTTAAATATTTCATTTTAAATTTTTATCAGATTAATATACATAATCGTATATCAATTAAAACATGTTTAAAAAATAAAATTTTATTTTAACAAGTTACACCATTATAATTGCCTCATTAATACCTTCGAAATAAGTCCAATATTGAATAGTTTTTGACTTAATTATATTATTATATATTATATATAAAATGAAAAAATATTTTTAATATTTACGATTTATACTTTTATAGTTATTTATTTATATATATACTATATATTTTGGGGTTAGGCTGTCCAAATTGCACTGTATAATATGTTCTGAGTTAATATGTTTTTGGGTTTTTTTGATATATATATACATGTATTAATTCAACCTTAATATGAGTTTCTGGACAAAAAAGAGGGTAAACAATTGAAATTTCATTCTAAAACTCATCTTTTTTGGTCTTTTCATGGCTTATGATCTATCAAATTTGTAGTTTTCTTTATTGGTCTTGAGTGTTTATCTTAAAACTCAAGTTTCTTAGTTCTTTGCTCTTGGTGTAAATCGAACACATTTGTGGAGTCGTTTAAATATGTTGGATTTTAAATATATTGGATTTTAAACTGTCATACAATTTTTTTCATCGATAGTCTGTAATTGGAACCATAACTCTTATTTATTCAAATTGTATTAATATGTAAAGACCAAGTGTAACATATATCATCGTCAAATCTTATCTTATAAAATCAGTGGAACTTCAAAATCGTTAAAATCCATGGCTCCCGCCGCATTTCACGGGTACACAACTAGTAGTTAATATAAGAGGCTATTTGATAGTTACTGAATGATTTGGTATAGAATGATTAAGTGGTTAGAATGATTAAAAAGCTCTTGTAATATAGTGCAAAATGAAATATAATTGTTCGATAATTATTTACAAGGAAATTAGAGCGTTGAATGGTTAATAGAGACACATGATACAAAATCATTCAGATGGTTTTAGAACCATCAAGAGACAAAAAAAATTTCGTCAAACAAAATTTACCTCTTAATGAAACTATTAAGAGGTAAACAAACAACCTATAACATTTGCATATCTAAAAAACTTGTTTATCGTTTTATTTAGAAATATATTTCTTCTTAACAAAATATAAATGACTAATCAATCTCTCTCTCTCTCTCTCTCTCTCTCTCTATATATATATATATATATATTAAATGAAGAATCAAGAGTATTGAAGCGGTATCATAAGAATTGAGTATTGAAGTGTTGATGAATTATGATTGAGTTTTAATCAATTTTATATTAATAAGATAACTTTTTGATGAAATTCGATTTAATATATCTTATAGGAATTGAAATTTTGTTAATTAGTAGGAGGGTTTTCTAACTTTTAGAGTTTAATGAGTTTCACTACTAGAAAATTGATTATCATTAACGTTTATTATCGACGGAATAAATTAAAAAAACTCATCCGTCGAATATGGTGACCGTTGGTGATCCATCGCTCATACCTTTTCCCACAACTATTTCATCGAAGGACTTTCACCGATTGATTACCAACGGGTCCATCTTTTAGCGATGGATTACCAAAGGGTTTTTCGGTCGACGATGGTCTCTTGCTTTGTAGTGATTAGGTGGATACAACTGATTCGAACATCACAGCTAACCAATATATATATATATATATATATATATATATACTATATTATAAAGCATTTGGCTAAAACTCTTAAAAACTCTTAAACTCTTAAAACTCTTAAACAATTTCATCCCATAACTGAATTC